TCTTGTAAGTTTTATTTACTACCTGCTCTTTTTCCACAGATTAGCTTATCCAGATTTGTCTTATCACTCGAAGACAGTTAATTATAATCCCACAAAAATACTAAAAGACAGAGCAACACACTCAATTATCCACACATTACTCATCAAGCCCACAAATACGCCGATAAATACATGATATCACATAAATGAATACAGACAGGTATACACACATTCATAATGTCATACATGGTGCAAACGCACGTCCATTAATACGTACATATATACAGACATACAGGCAAACAAATATATAGACATGCATAAATACACACAAACACACATGTATACATGCATAAAGACGACCATACACATAGGCATGTATATACAAAAAGGATAAAGCTGTCGGCGTCGATCAATTCGTGAGGGATGCCCTATGCATTCCACTTCATTAAGCGTCGTTTGGAGGTGATTGACTGCAAAACTGGCCTTTACATTGACTTGCACTGGCCTACCGATCTATCAAGCCAGTGCTGCTATTCTTTCAGACAAGTCTGTACCAATTTGCCAACCCCGGATGGATGGATGGCTTGTGGGGTATGGGCGCGGGAATCGACTCTACATGTGCGTTGCAGAGAGGCTCAAGTTGCTGCGCCACACGCGCGCTGGACATGTATATATATATATATATATATAAAAACGACGTTTATGACGAAACCGGCTAAACGTCGTTACAACGTCGTCTGTAAAAAGCTCTTTCCCAATCACAAGGACTAGCGACTTCGTGTAGTAAAGGCTTTGTGCAACCATTCTAAAATTCCAAATAGGATCAGCTCGACAGCTGTCACATCGCGGCCGATCCCATACCTAGTTGCGGATGACTTCGTGTGTGACGAATTCGGATTCCAGACAACGAAACGTCTGAAATAGCGCCGTATCAACCGTATCAACAGAATATGTGAAGCCGGGTCGAATAAACGGGGTAAAAATAATAAGTAGCTGAAAGCGCAATAACTTTATGACGAAACCGGCTAAACGTCGTTACAATAACGATGGTTTCGGGGCAATATGGAAAACAAAAGCATCTAGTTCCCACGTTCTGATTATTCCCAATCACCCAGTGATGGTACGGCCATTCCTTCCAGATATCTGTTTTAATTAATTTACAACTAAGTAAACTTTCGTCAATATCCGCTTTTAAACACTACAGTATAATATTGTTGGATAATTAAGAAACGAACACTTAAAGCCTGGGTGAAGAAAGTGGAACAGAACTGGGCAAAACTAACATAAGAAAAACAAAGCACAATGAAACTGGTCTTCCGATAACTAACGGTGATTTGTCGATCGCTAGAGTATTTCAGGACTTCAAAATCATGTAGATTTATAGGTGAGACTTTTCTCTATTGCATCAATCGCACGAATGATTTTTACATAATATCCTTTTGTTTTTAAATATTTAGAAAAAGAACTCCAAAATAATTAAAAATAAAATCCAAACTTTCCAAATCTCCAATAGAAAAGGGGCGGCCGCCAAGGCAAGCAATGCATCTGATAACACCATTGCCTCACGCTGGAAGAAATCCCACTTGCTCACTTGTTCATTTGCTTTCTTGTTCGAAATATAACCCATCAAGGGATTAACTTAAAAAATTAAACTCTTTGAGCATCAGATAATCACAGCTGCTTCTCGATAAAATAAAATGACATCTGGAAGCAAAGATCTACAGATTCTAATAATCTATTCTCCAACTAGTGAAGTGCACTTTGAACTCAATTATCTTAATTTTCTTCGTATTTTTGTTGATCAAACGCGAGGTGTTATTATTCTTTGTTCACGATTAGGTTGACGTTTCGGCGGATTTCGCCTTCCTCAGAGCCTGGAAAGGTCAAGTTGATAGCAATCAACTCGGTCAGACGCCTCCATAACCAAACAAAGAAACTCCAAACCAAGATTTCAATCACTTTGAACACAGCTTTGTAAACTCACCGCTTCCTATGAGGTTTCCACTAAGTATGTCACGTAGAGACCAACCGCACAGAAATCACATGGAAGTATAATGTGCCCCCCTCATCAGAAAAGCAGTTTTATATACTGCCCTATATCACGCGTGATAATGAGGCATTCTTCCCTATCTGATCTCCTGTAAGACGTGTGGCGACGAATACATTGGCGAAACGGGTAGACCCCTCTGCGTTCTCATGAAAGAACACCTAGCCGGCAAAAATAGACCAATTACCCCGCTAGGCACGCATAGGACCCAGAGACATAACGGGGACGACTTCGAAGTATGTGTCACGATCCTCGCACGCGAATCAAGAACACAGGCGCGAAAAACTCTCGAGGCACTCTGGATTAATTCCAGAAATCCGAAAATGAACCGCAGAGAAGAATGCCTCATTATCACGCGTGATATAGGGCAGTATATAAAACTGCTTTTCTGATGTGAGGGGCACATTGTACTTCCATGTGATTTCTGTGCAGTTGGTCTCTACGTGACATGCTTAGTGGAAACCTCATAGGAAGCAGTGAGTTTGCAAAGCTGTGTTCAAAGTGATTGAAATCTTGGTTTAGAGTATCTTTGTTTGGTTATGGAGGCGTCTGGCCGAGTAGATTGCTATCAACTTGACCTTTCCAGGCTCTGAGGAAGGCGAAATCCGCCGAAACGTCAACCTAATCGTGAACAAAGAATAATAACACCTCGCGTTTGCTCAACAAAAATACGAAGAAAATTACTTGATCAATGCCGAGGTTAATAGAAAGTCGGTCGTGGCTGTCAATTATCTTATTTTAAAGTTGAAAGCGGAAATCACTTCAAAATAGAATGCATCGTATACAATGCATGGCTGGCGCTGGGTGTTAATAAAATAGTACACAAAATATGTGATGTTTCCTTCAGAGATTGCCAGTCTTACTACCACTGCTACAGACTTCACCTCTTTAAACTAACCTCGGTAAACACGTAAAACAGACAGCTTTTTGGCTGGTGTGGTTCCGGAGGGAGATTTTAAAATAGTTGTTATGTTACTGCGATAGGAAATTCCTTTAAAATCTTCATTTCACGGACGACATCGTCGTCTTTTTAAGGAGTACCAGTGAACCGCAGACGATCAAAGAGCTCAACAAAATGGTGAAAGTGAACAGATGAAATCGGATGGTTTTCTGATGGCAGAGACTTTTCGTTCATGTACCTTGAGTGTTCTATGAACATGAAAAACAACGATGACCAAGAAATTACTCAGAAGAAGGAGGGCAGCTAGGGCCGCATTTCTGTCTCTTAAAGAAGCCACCGACCAACTAAAGCACCCAGAAATCCGCACCCACTTTTTCGATTCACAGTTCTCCCAGGGCTCTTTTATGCAGCCTCTTATGCAGCAGAAAAGCGAGCTGATGCTTCAACCACGACAAGAACTCTGCGCACCACGTAAAGGGCGCTTGGACGATGTCTTCTGAAATTTAGTAGACTTTCATAAAATTTAACTGGATGACAACGGTCTGATCTTTGAAATCGATCTTATCTTGGAGCCCCAGTAGGAAACAAATCAACTTAATAGTGGTGGTTTAATAACGGCGCAAGCTCGATTCCGCACCAGGCTAACCAAGCCTCTCATCTCTCCGGGGTTGAGAAATCGTATCGGACTTGTCTGGGAAAAAATCACCCTATGCAATCCAATTAGAAACGCTCCAGACCGGCTATCTCAGGACTCTAGAGAGAATTGCTTGAGCAGCACTCTACGGCATTCCAGATGAAATGAAAATCCTCAAACAGCAACCGAAGTCATACCTAAAAGCTGGAAGATCTTCGTAGACAATGGATGAGAGGAAACGAATCAAATGTAAAAAGTGCTGGGATCCGCATAGTATATTTGAAGGCAGATCAAATAAAATTTTAGAAAAATACTTAATTGTTCAAAAGAATAGTAAAGAATTTGTTGACAGTTGAAATTAGAGTTCATGTGAGAGATGCGTAGTGCACTGCTGCGCCGGATACCACCGCCATTCATTAATCTCTCTTATCATTCACAGGCAAACATCGCATTACATGTACATCTGATTAAATTCACGTGAATGTCATGCCATATACATTGTGCATAAATAAATACATTAATAGCACCTTCTTCGACTGCTAAGCTTAAGGCGAATAAACGAACGTCTTTGTCGCCGAACTGTCTCTCACGAACTTCACGTGAAATACACGCTCCATTACTGACCTACTCTTGAATAACGTGGTGAAAAATCGATTTCTGTGCAATTTCTTGTCATGAACGAGAGCATCGGCTTCAGAGGACAGTGAATCTGCTGTTTCGCATTCCGTTACACTCACGGTGTACCGACACCTTGACAGAACGTCGTCTCGTTGTCGTCTACGTAGGAATTTCACACTGTTTCGGTTTGCTTCTCCCACCTGCGTTCTATCATCTGTTCCTATGGTGTATAAAGGCTCTATGGGGACACCTGCACCTTGCTGAACCGAGGGCGATGCTTCATTTGGCCCGTAATCTCTCTCAGATCGGCGTTGAAATGTGGTCGCTCCTTGGGTACTTACCATCATTCCTCACCAGTACAACTTCATCATACCAATGTCTAGTCTGTATAATGGAAAATTGCTTAATCTCGTATCACTCGTGCTATTCACGTGCATTGTTCCTATATGTCTTCTTCAAACGGGTTCTAAGGAATGTGCGGCTGATGTGGCTGCCGTAAAGAGCAACACACCGCATTATTCGACAGATGTTGACGATGAAAATGCTAACAATCCTGATATTTTGGCTTTCAGTGCTGTAAATGTTTTTATTAACTTTCCCGATTGTCGACTGAAATGAAAATTAGACGATATTAACCTAAATAGCTTCTTGTCAATGGCTGTAAAAATGTATGAATTGCTTCGTGCACCGTCGTGACCTTCGTCTGTAGCGTTTCAAAAATTCCACAGTGAAGAACTTATTCGTCTACAGTTGGGTCCCTAAAGCTAGTTGTTGCTGTGTCGCGAAGAACTTCTCCATCATATTTCCGCTTTATTTTGTAGATGTCTTGTCAAGAAATCTCTCGATGTGAAGTTGCTCGACACTGTGCGCCCGACGATGCCTGGATTATCATTCACAACGATGTTATCGATATAACAAAGTTTCTTGATGAACATCCTGGTGGTGTAGAAATTATGCTTGAATATGTAAGCATATTAATGGACAATCGTTGAGAATGCTTTATAATTTTTGAAAAGCTTTAGGGCGAATGACATGTCTGTTGTTGCATAACCTCTTAGAAATTCCGAACTGAGTTTGTCATTGTAGTCGGGTTTCCCACTTCTGAGGTACTGTGTGAAAGCAAAACGTGGTCATTATCATCGGAAATTTCTTTTTATGGGATAAATGTATTATTACGTGCTATAAGAAATTGCTGCTTTCCTACCTTCGTCGTTCCTTTAGTCATTCCAGGAATTTCGGGATATTCCAATAAATTCTATCCGACGTTGTAACGAACAATCAAAAGCGCTCAATGGGCTCTTTTCACTAAATAGTCACCACTTTCAGGGTATTATCACATAGGCTTACTCTTATGTGGGGTTCACGAACGAAACAGCCCTACGGTGATGAATCTTTCGTTGGTCATCTCAGTTTAACATTCAGGAACGTCTCTAGCCGTCACGAGGTCATAATCAATTGGGATAGCAATGTCGGCATTTAATGGAAGGTTAATAAGGGAAATGTGTGGGACTAAATGAAATGTGTAGCTATAGAATCAAGCGTTTCAATGTCATCGAGAAACTCAGACGAAAGCAATTGTAGGAAAAAATAACCTTCTTTCATTGTTAAGAGCAAACGAAAATTTGTTAAGTTGATCTTTTTCTACGTGCTAAAAGAAAACATCAGTCTGACCTTCAACCTTTTAGGTCGGATGTGACGCTACAGACGCTTTTGAGAGTGTGGGTCATTCGGCGACTGCTCGTTTGCTCGCTGAAAAATGTAAAATTGGAATTTTACCGAAACATGAAGTAACCGAAACGACCCAGTACATCACTGAGGCAAAGGTTTGTAGAAAAAATTTATGTGATAGGTGCTATTCCCTGCTGCTAAACTTTCCAGGCGGTTCTAGAAACTCAATATATATTTTGCATGTCGCAAATTTAGCTCGATAAGATTTTCTTCCTACCTTTTTGAAGACGCAAACTAGAAAGAAACGAGTCTAAAAACTAAAAATCAGAAAAAGGTGATGAAAAAAGAATGTAAGCAAAATTCCCTCAGTATCACTTCCTCGAATTCAATCGGTCAACAGCCAGTTATCGTTCCAGAAGCTCTTGTGTCCGCTTCATGTTACTTCGTAATCTATACAGGATCTTCCACAGCCGTGTGAAATATGTGTTTTTTCTCTGGTCATCCTTCTTCATTTTTGTAAACTAGTCATACTGGTCTTCTTTTTGTTTCTTTTTTTCTTGATAGTTGCTTTTTTAATGTACTATCTATCCACGTCGATATTACATGAGTCTTTGTGAACCAGAACTGGTATTTTTCATTGCTCTTTGAACCAAATAAAAATATTTTACAACTAGCAGCTATAGGCCATGAAATAACCAATATTGTCTGGAATGGGAATAGACGAAGCGCAATGTCATTCTAACCAAGTGAGAGATAACAAGACGCTAACAAACACCCCTCCATCCATAAAGAACTTTGTACGATATTTCTCTCTCTCTATAAAAACAAGACAGTTACCATTTCTAGCTAGAAAAACCATAAAGGCGAGAGTAGCAGGCATTACGCTAGTCAGAGGCTTGACTCGTCACGGTTATGCATCGTATCCCACGTTTCCTAATGGGCAGCGATAGTTGTGAAGACCTGGAAGACGCTCTACAGGAGATACCCCACAATTCTAAGCGTAATCTACTTGAATACATGAGAGGCAGCCAATGTGAAGATCAATCACGAAAAAAACCACAAATTTAATTGAAAACTGCAAAAAGTGCTTTCGATAGCGTCATCATTTTAGAAAAGGAAAAAAACATTAGAAAGTACTTTTTTGCTTTCGTTGCTGTTGCCCTTCTTATCGTTAAGGCGTTAATTGCCCACCTAAAACTAGGTATTGCTAAAATCTAGGTACCTCTTGTATCAAATCATAAAGGGTAGTAGAGGATAAAACTCTCGGCGCTGATCAATCCCCGAGGGATACGCCATGCGTTCGGTTTCATCTAGTATTGCTTGGAGGTGATTGAAAGCATGCATGGCCCTTGCAATGACCCGCTGTGATCTGCCGATGTGCCGTGCCAGTGCTGCTGTCTTCCCAGACAAGTCTGATACCAATTTGCCGACCCCAGAGGGAAGATAAACGTTTAAAAGCATTACTTTGAAGTAAGATATAGAAGGAAAAATTGTTTGCTAACCTTCAATTAGCTGCACTTTGAATATTCAGTGAAAGCAATGCAAAAATTGTTAACAAAGAAAGACTTTAAAAGGTTGCAGGGTTTCCATCTTTAAGTCTTTATTCACTTTATATTACTTTTTCGTGATAGGACGTACAAAAGTGTAGCGTGTGGCGCCGTGGTCGGAGGCGCCTTGCATTGCGCGTGAGATCGATTCGCGCGCCCCATGCTTATCGAGCTTTCCATCCCTCCAGGCTCTGAAAAATAGCACCACTGACTCAATACAGTGATGGGCCACCACGAGCGCGGGCCATCATATAGGCAAAATACGCATTCAATCACTTGCAATGATGCTTGAAGAAGTCAAATGCATGGCGTATCCCTCAGAGATTGATCAAAGTCGAGAGCTTCATCCTTTCTTAGGGCATTATTTGAAGTATAACCGAATAATGCTAAGACATCCCCAAAACTCAGACAACTGGCTAGCTTCGAACTCGCGACTACGCTTTCCCGGAGTGCCACTAGGGTAAAAGAAACCGGCTGAATGAAAGGCAAAGTAAGGTCCTCGTTGGTGCAGTAAGTAGCACGTGAAGCCCCAGGTTATAGTTGCATTCGTTGTTTGTTTTAGAGGATGGCACTGAATTGTTGTATAAAAGGGCATCACTGAGTGAGGATGCCTCATTCGAGAAGATGGCTCACTGAGGAAGACCTGACTCGACACGAAGGCGAAGCTGCAACGTCGAGACGAACAACAAGCATGGACCATCGACTCGGATCATCGGCTCTGAGGAAGACGAAGACGTCGAAACGTTAGCCGAAATTAAATATATTTATCAACCTCGTGCAATCTTATCAAGAAAGAATACAAAACAGAGTTTGTTAATTTCGTAGAAAGCCGAGTTGAAAAACTGATACCTACAGTTAAATTCACTATCAAACTCTATATTAAATTAAAAACGACATTTAACAAAATTGGTCTCTTGGGAAGACAGTTTTATGAGTTGAGAGACACTTGGCTGCAAATTTTTTAGCCCTTTTCATCGGTATTTATACAAATATATACGTACTTACGTATTGTATAAATATACGCAAAAATACACATAGATGTATACATACGTGTATATATATATATGTGCATATAAGTGTAGGCATTTTACGTCTACTGTGTGCTTCCCAGCACTTCTCGCATTCCTCAATTCGTTTCCTTCCATCCATTGCGCACGAAGATCCTCCAACTTCTACGTGTGGCTTCTGTTGCGGCTTGAGGATTTTTATTTCATCTTGAATGTCGCAGAGTGCTGCCAGCAGTTCTCTTTGGAGTTTTGAGATAGCAGGGCTGGAGCATTCCTACTCAGATTGCAGAGAGTGATTTCCTCCCGGACAAGTCCGGCACCAATTCCCCGACGCCGGAGGGATGAGAGGATTGGTTGGTCTGGAGCGGAATAGAACTAGGACCATGCTCGCGATGACGGACTTCATTACCACTACGCTATTCGCCCCTTACATGTGAACATATATGCTTATTTATAAGATTCGTGCCAGACGTGTTCTGGAGGATAGCGGCACTGGCTCAATACATCGGTAGGCCACCGCGAGTCATTGTAAAAGCCAGTTATGCAGTCAATCACCTCCAAACGACGTCGAATACATGGCGCATCCCTCAGGAATTGATCAACGTTGGCAGCTTATATGAATAATTTGGTGGCCCGTCTTCACTGGTGGTGCCGGGCCTAGCATAGTCTCCCACTTTTCGGAGTTTTGCTAGTTTTAGCTACTGTGGTATGCTAGAATCCCAAGGTCAGCCTATCCAACGCCTGCCTTAATTCGTCACCACCACAGGCAACCACTGCACCTTTGGATAAGAGGGAGATTTGCCACTATGCCATAAATTTTTGACGTCTGAATCCCTATTTGTCTTCGTAGAAAAAAACGGTCTCCTGTGTATGCTTTAATATGCAATTACTTTGTCGAATGGCAAAGTTTTGTAGATTCTAGTATGCTTTCACTTTTATTGCCACTCTACCGATTTGGAAAGATTTTTCCCCTCCAGTGTCAAGAAACGATAGGAGCTCTTAGGTCGTAATCACCAGGATGCGACGGTCACCTTAGGAATGCGTTTCTTCCAAGAACACCATAATTTTCTGTGTCGTTTTACCTTAAAACAGTATTCAAGATAAAAATCTCCAATCAATCCACCATGGTTTAGTGGCCCTATTGAAACGAGCAGTAGACAGTAGACAAAGCCACTGCTGGATATCACAGTTTAACGCATGGAAATATGTTACTGCCAGCAGTTTTCTGAAACGCGCACGAATGTTCCTCTATTTCTTTAAATTTCTTCTGTCATTTCTTCAGTTTTCTTATGTGGCCTTAACATATTTAGTAGTGGTTATCATGTTAAAACAACCTTTTCTTGTTTGAGAAATGGTGTCAAATTTCCGTCATTTCAATAGGACAAGAACTTCTGATAAACCCTGAAAGCGTGATTTGAAATAATGTAGTGAAAATATTAACAAGAGATGTTTCTTCTAAATCTCAATCACATCGTGTCCTAGTCATATATCGTTTCGACTGTCTAGATTTTCTACATTCCTTACTTTTTTTTCATTCTCTATCTGTCAAGCTATTTTTCGTTGCACTTTTCTAATAGAACACATTGGGACACGATTTTTAGTTCAACGTGAAACAATGAATCATCCAAAGAAAAAAGCTATAGAAATTTTCATAACTTTATACCTTTTTGTTTTCTGCCTACTATAATTTCGCGACAGGGTACTAAGCGAAATACAACCACAACGTTGCTGAGATATTTGCAAAACTCTGGACCGTTGGTGTCTATGGTGGGGAACGAACGCGCTATTGTCCTTTCCGGGGAGTAACGCGTTC